GATAGAATGGGAGGGAGAGAAGGGGGAAGAGAGAGAGAGAAACATTGATGTGAGAGAGACACATTGACTGGTTGCCACCCACACAACCCCAACCGGGCCAGGGACAAACTACAACCAAGGTACATGCCCTTAGCAGGAACCGAACCCAGGACTCTCCGGTCTGCAGGCTGACGCTCTAACCGCTGAGCCAAACTGGCCAGGGCCTGTTTACACTTTTAATCGACGCATTTTATGCCGGGTGATCCTTGACAGCCTGCTTCTGTTTAAGAAAGGGGGACTCATCAAAGCTGGCTGGCAGCGATGTGGGCCTGAACTGGGACTCGCCATCTGGCGTGACCATTCACTGACAAACCAGTTCCGTTGTCAGTATCTTCAGGTCTTTTGTTTTGAGTTGGTCAGACCCTCCAGAGAAAACTCCTCATTTCGCACCTGGAGGAAATTACCTGGCTGCAGCCTTCCCTGAACCGAGTGGAGCGCGAGCACTAAGGCCTCAACATGCTGTACGGTGGGGGTCAGAGCCACGCCTCCCTGCAGATGTCGTGTCCTAGTGCCTGAGCCTGTGCACATGTACCTTCTCTGGCAACAGAAACCTTGCAGGTGTGCTGATTCGGTTAAGGATCTCGAGGTGGGGAGATTATCCTGGACGACCCGAGTTGGTACAATGCAGCTGTGCAGGAGGCAGGCATGTCCGTGTCAGAGAAGGACGTACGATAACAGGAGCCGAAGTCGGAGTGACGTGGGCCGTGAGCCAGGAAACGAGGCCGCCTCTGGAAGCTGCAAGAGGCAGAGGCGGGAATGCGCCCCCCCCCCCCCCCCCCCAGCCTGCAGCGGCACAGCCTGCCGATCCGCGGCTGACGTGTGCGCTCCTGGAAGGGCATACAGTTGTGTTGTTGTGAACCACTGCGCTGGTGGTAAGTTGTTATAGCAACAATAACAAATGGATACAGCACATAAGCTTTCACCTACGCCTCCTCTTTTCATTAGAGAACCCCCACTTTCTACTGTGCCTGATGTTCTATCTTTTCCAGGAAATAACCCTCCAGCCTTCTGCTAGGGTAGGAGCTGGGCAGGCACTTTGTTGCTGAATAGATAAAACTGTTTCAATATTTTCACCCAAGCTTCACCTCTGCTTCCACAGTACTTAGAGACACAAATTCCTGGGCTTCCGGCAGACCTGCTGGGGTAAACCAGCTTCCTTTTGAGCATCCCCACTGCTGGCTCAGGTCAGCTTCCCTGCCAAGTAGTTACCACTCATCCTTCCACTTTCCAGCTTCCAAAATATTGTTGCTGTTATTTTCTCTTCAGATTTCCTTGTCTTTGTGGTGGTTTCCCTACCCTCCACCCCCAAAAGACCAAACAAATCCAACCCTCTATTAATATTTCATTGTGATTTCTGATTCAAGAGGCAATAGTAGAACCACATGTATATAGTCAATTACATTTGACAAAGTTGAAAAAATACAAGTGCCTTTATTTTATATTGCTTTTTCCTTGGCATGGTGCTGGATAGTATATACTATGCATTTAGAATGTGACATTTTATAGGTGAAGTTGTACATGATACGATAGTATGGCAGGTGGGAGTTAAGATCAACAATTTTGTAGGAGGCCTGAGTTGAATTAGAGGCTTTGCCACTTACTAGAGGCAAGACTTTGAGCAAGTCCCTTAAAATCTCAGTTTCCCCACCTGTAAGGATCTGTACATACAGCAAAACCATGTATTAACCCACAAAGTGATTAATTAGATTAGACCAGATGATGGGTAAAAGTCCTTGGCTCCTTGTGGAGCAGAAAGGCAGGGGAACCGAGACTGAAGTGTATCGATAGTATGCTGTGCCCTTCCTTGTATATAACTACATTTAACATATTTGTATTTAAATATATTTGGGCAATGAATGAACATCTTCTCTTAGTGAAGTAGTTCAGAAAAACCACTGAATGTCAGACTCATTAAATGCTACGTGAACGTAAAGCCAGGCAAAACATTAAAATTGATCTTTAAGTTTTTTGGTTTCTCTTCCGCATTCTCTCATCTTCTTTTCTCTTAACAGAAGGCTGTGATTTTAAACGTCTAATTATTCAATTTGCCTCTAAAAGTCATAGATGCAAGATGAACAAAGAAATAAAGAGAGGCCTAGTCAGCTCTCTTCTACGATTTCAACTGGCCTCTTAATTATTTCATCTCTCTCGGTCCCGTCCCCCACTAAATCCTTTTTAACATAGCAGGCAGAGTGAACTTAAAAAGCCAAATACAGCTCTGGTCAGTTTTGCTCAGTAGTTAGAGCATCCTCCTGCGGACCAAAGAGTCCTGGGTTTGATTCCATCCAAGGGCACGTACCTCAGTTGGGGTTCATCCCTGGCCCCAGCTGGGATTGTGCGGGTGGCAACCAGTCGATGTGTCTCACATCGATGTTTTTCTCTCTCTCTTCCTCCCTCCCTCCCTCCTTCTCTATGTGAAGATAAGTGGAAAAATATCCTCAGATGAGGATTAAAAAAAACAAAAACAAATACATATCACCCTAATACCACAGAATGAATCACTCCATGGCTTGAAATTTCTTACTGGCTCCCATTTTTCTTTGAATAAAAATAAAACTCCTGGCTCAACCTGCAAGGCTTCCCAAAGCTCCAGCCTCATCTGTACCACTGTCCTTTCTCTCTTACCTTGCAAAGTGGCTCATACATAGTCACCTCTCAGTACATATTTGTTAAATAAATGGAGTGATTAACAAATACATTAAGAATAATGGATACATTTTTTAAAAATATAATTTCAAGGACTTTGCTTTTATTTTCACACTTCCCTACTGGATGAGGGGAGAAAGCTGGTGTGAACCCAATGGCTTGAGCAGGGCTTACTTTGGCTTGGCTTTGGAGCCCAGGGAATTGCTCGCAAGGGGGAGGAAATCTAGACGGAAGCAGGGTTAGCAGATTACCTGCTTCCTAACTGCTGTCTGGGCAGTGCCGGCGAGAGCAGGCGGTTGCCTGATGTTCATGCACCTTCAACCAGACGATGTGGACGTAGGTACTAACATGATGGCTGGCACAGAAAAAGTGGGGGGATGAATAGTTTTTGAATTAATTAATAAAAGTGGCCTTTCTACTTACCATGTGCCTTTCAAACTGAATAACCCTTTGGGGTTTCCTTGTCCTTCAAGATCGCTTTCCCCTGGTTTAGTTGAATGTTTTAATAGAGGGAAAGTAATGTTGTTTGTCTAGGGTGAGGCCACGTCATGCTATTTTAAGAACGACTATCCTAGTCCTGTTCGGAAGAGGCCCATTCATTATTGGAATTCCTGAGTATTCCCTTGCATATTCACAAAGCCTACTCCCTTTCCACGTCACCAGTGAGTGCCTTTCTTAAATGGAATGTCATTGCTGGCAAAGGAGCTTTTTTGAGAAAGAACAAAGAATTGAGCTCTAGTTTAGTGCGGATGGGATTGCTTACTGGCAAGCGCAGTAAACTCGTGCATAAGAAGTGAATAGTCCATGTCACTGGACTGCAAGTAGGTCTCCACTTCACGTGGCCCCAGGAGCTGGGCTAAGGGTGGTCTGGCAGAGTTGGACACTCTCTATGGATGACATTGTGGGGAACCAGAGAACCCCTTTCAGGCGTAGAAAACACTGATTGTCTGGTAGTTCCTTGCAATTCCTCAGCTAGAGGGTTATTTATCCAGCGTAGGGATGTCAAATGGCCTCAGCTTCTACAGCAGGACGAAATACTGGTAACGGCTTCTGGAAACCTATCATGAGAAAAGTTCTGAGGTCATATTTGGGCTCATCAAGAAAGTGTCATGAGAAGTTAAAAATGTCAGTTGTGAGTTTTGAAATGGATTGGTGGCATGCTACATATATTTAATATCTTTTCTTAAGGCTTTTTGTTTGTTTTGTTAAAATCTAAGTAATTAGATCTAAAAATCCATTTAATATTCATATAAACTCTATGAGGTAAGTCCTGTTATAATGTTTCTTTTTTCAGATGAAGAAACTACGGTACAGACATATTAACTTTTCTAAAGTATAAAATCAATTAGTGGTGAAGCTTACAATTGAACACATCCCTACCAACTCCAGAACCCAAGCTCTTGAGAACCATGTAGTTCTCCCAAGAATTCAGGAGGGCTGATATTTAAACCTGTTATCACTTATTTATACCCTAGAGTGAATGATTCCTCTTTACAACTCTACCTAAGATAGGACAATATAAAAGATTAATAAGGTTGGTAGGGCTGAAGACATATGTTAGCTACTTTATTATTTTAAAAAAATTTTTTTTCTTTATTGATTTTAGAGAGAGAGGAAGGGAGAGGGAAAGAGAGATAAAAACATCGATGAGAGAGAACATCAATTGGCCACCTCCTGCATGCCCCCCACTGGGGATTTGGCCCATAATCTGGGCATGTGCCCTGACCAGGAATCAAACTGATGACCTTTTGGTGCATGGGTCGGTGCTCAACCACTGAGCCACACTGGCTGGGCTACATTAGCTACTTTATAACACTAACACTGAATCTTCGTCTAAATATTGAAAACATGACTTAGTATATGACTACTCTAGTCAAGAAAATATGGATTATTTCTAGATCATTTTTAAAGATGGAATGCAGTATATCTGTACCTTGAGATCTGATCCAAGTAGGAGTACTATTATCCAATGATATTTTTTACCCCAAGAGTATAGATGTTAATCACTATATTCTGGTAAGATTCTAAAGGTAGGTAATTCTATTTTGTTTTCCTTTAATACTTAACACATGTTCTTTTAATGGGATGATCACTCTAATTATGGAAATATAATACTGTTACTTTCCCCAATTTATTTCTGTGATTAACCATTAAAATCATTTGTAAATAAGCAATGTATAGTATCCATGTAAAACAGTTTGAATTTTACCCAAAGGCAGAAAAAAATACAAACAAAAAACCTTCAAATATTTTTACTTGGTATTAGAAATGTCAAAATATAATTTTATTTCTTGCCTGTTCTTTTTCTTGTACAGAAAAATCTGTCATAGCTCAACCAATATTTGTTTTTGAAAAGAGAGAACAAACTTTCAAGGTAAGATCAAGTTATTTTTCTTTCTTCAAATTTTACTTTGACAAAGAAAATTGTATTTCAAGAAGCTAGCTATACTAAATGATATCCCTGTTGAATAAGTTTATTCTCTTATTCTTCATTTAGCAGAAAATTGCCTCCAGAATATTTATATCGTGGAGATTTACTGAGAGCAATTCAGCTGAAATGGGAGGCCAGTGATCTTGTCTTTAAGCTATGCCATTTTCACTAAATTGTACTTTTTTTTTGGAGTAACTTGGAAAAGGCAGTAGCTTAAAGAGATTAGAGGGTCAAGGCTTCTCGTGGGTCTCCACCACCAATCCAGCCTAAAGCTCGGTATTAAATAAGTTGTAAACTGCGATATTCGATTTGAAAGGGGATCAACCTCATACTCGTTTTGAAAGACTAATGATAAGATTAGTAGCATTCTCTTTATCTTCGTTACTATTTCCTTGTTATTCATTCTTGCTTATGCAGGTAATGTCCCTCACGACCCCCAAAACTAACTACCTAAAGCAATCTTAACCCCCCAACCCGTTATTGAAAAATTAGAGTTGGTATTTCAGAAATTTCCACAAGGGGTTCTGCAGTCACTGAATACAAAGCCTCTCTGCCAGACTTGGCTTTTCCTCGACTCCACGCCTAGTGAGTGGAGGTGAGCGGCGTTGCCCGGGCCCAGCCGGACAGACCTGGCCGTGCAGAACTCTCTCTAAGCGGCGGGGATCTGATGAAAATAGCCAACAGCTCTCACTGGCGGCTTTGTTTCCTTCCAGAGCCCTGCTGAAGAAACCCCGTGTGAAGCAGCAGAACCGGGTAACGGTTTAGGTCTTGTATTTCAAAATCAATCTTTAGACAATGGTTTTTCCTGCGTCATGTGCTCACATGTAATAGGGTACACAGATGTCATATTATAAAACTGCACACTGGAAATTTATATCATGTGATTCACCAATGTTCTCCCCATAAATTCAATTTTAAAAATTGCAACAGGAAAATGTAGCTTAAACTGCATTAAAACTCAAGATGAAAATTTTATGAAAACATGAGGACTAAATTCTTCAAAACAAAGAAAGGCTGAGGAATTAAACTAGATGAAAGGAGGTGAAAGACTTGTGACAGTCAAATGCTGTATATGATTCTGGACTGAATCCTGAATTGGGGAGGAAAATGTTGTAAAGAACATGATTAGCCAACAGACAAAATTATGGCTGGTGGGTTAGATAAGAGTATTGTGTGTTATGTTCAATTTCTTAACGTTGATCTTCATACTGAAATAATGTAAGAGATGTCCTTATTCTTAGCTAATACACAATGAAATATTTATTGTAAGGGGCATAAAACACATAGCTTAATCTAAAGTGATTCAGCAAAATGTGTATGTAGATAGAGAATGATCAATTAAATGAGGGAAAATGTTAATAATTGGTGAATCTGGTTAAACGGTATATGAGAATTCTTTGTACTATTTTCCAGCTTTTCTGTATATTTGAAAATATTTCCAAATTAAAACAAACAAACAAACATGAAAGTAGAATGGCCGTTGTTTTGAGAGATGACATGAGGGTCCCTGAGAACAGCGATATCGGCAACTCTAACACCCCACGATTCTCTACTGCCTTTGTTTTAACGTACCAAAAACAGTCTCTGTACAATATCTGAATTAATATGTAATATCTTGCTGAAACTACTTGTTTCTGATGGTTTCATACTAGGGTGATGTGACTATCAGTTCATAATCACCATGCTATTAACCCCAATATTTAAAATTGTGCTTCAGGAATTAATTTGTTATCAAATGATCATTTGTATAGACAAAAGGAAATTTTATTTATCCCCTCATAGCATTAGTTCAGGATAATTTGTTATTGCAAGCAATCTTACCCTTCACGTTCAATTTCTTGCAGAATGCAATGGTTTCTCAAGAAAGCGCACATGGGCTCCACCTTTTTCTTTGCATGCTACAGATTCTCAGTTCCAAGGAGGTAGGCACAGCGGTGGCCATGGCGTGTTCACCACTGATTACTCTGAGTGTAAAATTTCTAAGAAACTTTTCAAATGGATGATTTTTAAAAGTCTACCCACTGGATAGTATTTGTACTATATGGTTATATGAAAACAACAGACTATAAAATGGATTGTACAGTGAGTACATTCAACTGGTCAACATTGAAAAAAAAAAGGACGGAAGCCAGGATGTTAACAATGGTTATTTTAGGTAATGGGATTATGAGCGATTTCTTCCTCTTTTCCCCACCCCTCTTTGTATTTTGTATTGTTTACAAAGTTTCTGCATTAAATATGTATTAGCTTGGTAGGGAAAAGGGCCATTTCTCCTAAGCAAGCATCTGCTTAAATTAATAGATGTCTGCCTTTTAAAAAGACGCCTTATTCTAAGAACTGCATCATGCAGTACTGTATTCTGAGATCAGTGACTTAGTTTGCCTCTCTTGTATGCTCAAAGCACTCCAGTGACTCATAATTGATTGCCTTGCCCTCTGCCTTGTAAAAAGCTGTTTATGTATACATCTGTCTCCTCCCCATAAGTTCCTTGAGATCTTCTTCGTGCCTGACAGAGTATCTTAAATACAGTGAGCACTCCGATGATTACTGAACTGAATGGAAATCCATTTATAATCCCTATCAGAGGGATATAAATTATTAATAAAAACAAAAATATTTTTCTAAATTAAGGAAGTAGGAAATGTTCTGAAACAGCAAAAATCCAAATAAAAAGAAGCACAAAAACCCACTTTCTAATTGACTTCAGTTTGCAATCTGCTTTTAGTGTCAACCTTGACCCAGAAGCGAATGAGATCGTCATCCTTCACTGACCGCCCGACCTTCCCCTCTTCTGGGACAGGTAATAGTTTCTAGAACCTCAAGCCTGACACTCCGACTTTTCAAAATCCATTCTCGTTAATGATGATCTTTCTTTCTCAACTACTATAGAAGGCTGACATTTTAGTGGCAAATAAAATAGAAGTCTTAGCAAAATATGTAGAGAAGAATACCTTAAGAACTCCACAAATCCAGACAGTATATCTGTTATTTTTGGTAGAAAATTTGAACTTGATGATTTGTTTTAAGATTTCATGTTTATGCCCTGGCCGGTTTGGCTCAGCGGTTGGAGCGTCAGCCTGCGGTCCGGAGAGACCCGGGTTCGATTCCCGCTAAGGGCATGTACTTCGGTTGCAGTTTGTCCCCGGCCCTGGTTGGTCGTGCGGGTGGCGGCCACTCGATGTGTCCCTTCACGTCGATGTTTCTCTCACTCTCTCTCTCTTCCTCTCTCTCCCTCCCACTCTATCTGTACAAAAAGTGGAAAAATATCCTCGGGTGAGGATAAAAAAAAAAAAAAGATTTCATGTTTATGATAGCAATCTATTGTATAAGGGAACCCTATAAAAACTTGCTTTATTTTACTTATTATTGTCCATATATATGGTTTATAATATAGATAGTATTCAAAATATACAAGTATGCTTTAGATTCTTATTCTAAAGCTTATGCTTAATATTTATATTTTAAAATTTAGAATATGAATACTTTCATAACTTTTACTAATTAAAACATTACTTCTTTTTATTTGAAATTTATAGCGCTTTGCTAAATAAAACTATTTTATTATAATAAAATATTTGAAATGGTTGAAACATTTTCTACATTAAAATTATGATTTGTATTCTTGTGTGTTTTTGTTTCTGCTGAACAACAAAACTGCCCTTTCCAACTAAGTTTGCCACTAGAAATAACAAATACAAACTATTTGCTTCCTTTTTACTGATCCTCATGTGCCTGGGAACCACCGAATATTCAAATTAATGAATTTACGTTCTTACTAATCATTCCAAACATGACTGAGCAACACTATGTTAGACACTTTCAGACACAGAAGAGATCCTTTCTCACACAGTAGGTCCCCTCTAAGCCTCGCTGACGCATTGCAGACATTAAGAGGAACAGGGTGTCCTAATCCTCGAGGATTTGTTTCAGTGTATTTGTACATAAAGCAAAGGGATGACTTTAAGTTGTCTTTATTTTAATCAGACAAAAAATATCAGGCACACATTAGGAAAGAATGAATAAAGAAACATTCATAGCAGTAAGCACCTTTCCTTTGTATGTAGTACAGAATGTTTGTAGTGTTGAAACAAAGAAAAACTGCATACTTTTATATGGCCCAGTCATTGTTGCTTTTTAATAATGGAGATCATAAACACCAATTAATTGAATTTTGAATTAGAGAAGCAATTCTACCCCCAAATTTTAATAGGTTATAATACTTTGAAGAAACAGTTCTTATTTTTTTCTCGTCTCCATTACTCAGATAGTTGCTGTTCCTGCAATTTGCAACCAAGAGATGATCTCTTCGAAATGTACAGTAATTCTGTACCTGTAGCCATCAGTCTTAAGTTTAAGCCACAAACACACTTCATATAAAAATAACATATCATAATGATTTTACTTTTGTCTTCAAGTATTATTAGAGCAGGGAGAAGGGCAGAATTTGCTAACAATTTTCTAACATTCTGTGAGAAATATATATTAATGCACAAAGAGGGTTCATTATCAATTTAGTTTTATAATCTGTAGAATTTGCCTCAGGACTGTTTCATGATTCTAAAGACAGCCTTCTGTAGTGACCTAATTTTCACTTGCTTTTATGAGAGTAAACAGAACTATGTAGCAAAACTCATCCCTGCCATGACGCATTTTTAGCAGAGTCAAGGTCTCCTGGGCACCGCCCGCTACTCTGTTAGTGCGAATGGTGACACCTACTGGTGAGTTCGTGCAGGACTCTGAAAACCCAAAGCGTGCAGAAACAGACTCACTCTCACAGATGAATATTTTTCTAAATATTTTTTTTTCTTACAGTGAAGAAAAACAATGTTTTTATGACACCAACTCTTGTGCAAAGGAATGCTGATATGAACAGTGCAGAACAAAGTATGTAGTTTCTCTATTATAAAAACCTCAGAAATTACATTTTACCATCCATATTTTAATCTGCATTTGTGTTGTGGGTATGAAAGTAGGGCTGAGTGACCAAACATGAAAGAATATATTTGATAAGCCAAGTCCCATGGTAAAATAAATAGTTATTAAAATCTTGGCTGGTAGTAAGTAGTAGGCAAGTCACTGGCTATTTGGGCTTTGATTAGTTAACATTAACCCCACATTTAACGCTGACTGTGGAAAATAATCATTAAATTAGAAAAAATATGGAGAAAGAAGTATTTCACTAAAGCTATACTGACCCTTTAACTCTGTTCGTTAAGGTCCTGTGAAACATTCTGAACATGTTCTAAGACCTGCTATTTTGCCGCCACCTCGCGCTCGGAAGTGTGAAAAAGTAAGGCACAATGCACTGGAACACTGCAAGATGAAAGAAGAAACAAAACATAAGGTAAACAAACAAGAACAAAAACCCTGACAGTGTAGGACTGATCTCAATGCCCATCCTTCTCTTAGGTTGTTGTGGGCCCTACAGCCAGAGTTAGGGGCTGTCTGAGCTTTGTGCTGTTGCAGAATCAGCTGCCCAGCGGGGGGGCACCTGGACTAGATAACAGAGCCCTCAGTGACCTTGTGCAACGTGCCCTCTTAGGTTGGAGGGACACGTCTTGTGGTCTCTCTGTAGCCCCAAAGCTGTGTCCTAGAAGGCAGGGACCCTTGTCTTGTTCAAGCGCACTGCTCCCGTGTGAGAATCTGGGGAGCAATGTGGTGGCCCCAGCTAGGAGACAGAAATCAAAAATAGGACAGGGATTTCTGCATCCGCAACCACTTGACATCCTAGGGTGGCTCTGCTGGTCTAGGTCATACCAGGAACCCACTCCAGACCCTTTGTCATGGGTAACAGGAGCAGAGAACTAGCGACACGGTGTAACTGGGAGGGTGTGGGAAGCCTCTGGAGACATGTTGTGGGTGGCCGGATCACGCTGTCTGAAGGAGATACTCCTTTTGCTCCGGCCATGAGGACATGGGTCTGGGCTATCCTCATGCTCCAGTTCTGGCTGTGTCTCCAGAAGCCGACACTTCAGAGGAATGAGACTCAAGACCAGTTAGTTGGAATTTGAGAGTTAATTCCATCAGTCATTTATTTCCAGCTAAACTATTAAGGGTTGCTAACCTTGTTTTGTTTTGTTTTGTTTTTCCTTACTGAACATAAGGCTAGCAATACAGAGTGTTAAAAATACCGGCAATTTCATCAATCCAATGAACAAAAAAATCAGATTGGTAGTAATCCTGCCTCTGCTACTATCTATGCTTGCATTCTTGGAAAAAAACACCCAACCTTTTCTCTCTATTAGTAAAGTGAGGGAGTGGACCTTAGTCAACATTTGCCAACATCTTTACATTTCTAAATCCTTTTGTTTTTTGTAAGATATGATTTCATGAGACCCATTGTGGATTTTAAAAATGATTTTATCATTTATGCATAGTTTATGACATGATTTTTAAGTAAAACATGTTTGAAATTTTAAATCAGTCCATTTTTAAAAGTTTTCATTTCTAATAATCATCACCAGATAACAAATTCTTTTGTCTATTTAAGAAATGGTGCATGTTGTTTAATATTTTTAAGTCTATAAGAAAAAATACGATGTGCTGACTAATTTCCAAAGTGTTATGTTGCATTTGATTTTGCAACAGAATTACCATAAATTATAGATTAAAATTTTTGTTATGTGTTATGATATCAAAAGTAGTTCAATATTTCTTCTTCGGCATAATTTTTTAAATCTTCATTACATATTTAAATAATAAAATATAATACATTTCTTGCATTTTCCTCCTAAATGATTAAGCATAAGAGAAAATTTCAGGCTATTGTTTGTAAGCATTTCTTCTTGAATAACTTATTAAGGTTATGAATAGAACTTGTAGAAATATGAATATGAATAGAACTTATGAAATATGAACTTATGAATAGAACTTAGTGAAAAGCCTAATTGGATATGCCCATCATTACATTTTCTATTTAATAATGACCTTTGAAGATCTAAAGAAAAGCTAAATGCTATGTAAGAATTCTGACAAAATAAATGTAATTTATAGATCTAGTGAAAATTATCTCTAGGTGAAATTTATAGAACCATTGTTTTTATGTTTCTTATTAACTTGTATATAAAAATCAGAGACATTTTTATACATTCTGTCATTAATCAGTGGTCAATTATTGTTTATAATTTATGATACCTAATAAAAACTATTTTAAGCAACATAAGAGTAAAAACTGTGATTTTGGCTGAGCAATTAATCCTCTGAGTGACTGAGTCACGAGCAGGTATTTTGCTCTTTGCTAACTAACGACACATACTCTCTTAATACATGTTTCTCAGCTCTCAAATTATGTTATGGGGGGGATACTCAAAATTATTTCTATTGATTGATATAAGATTAAAGTGGAAACAAACCCCGTCTACCTTTAAAGGCATGAACTCCCTACAACATCTTTGCAGATCTCTGGTAGCGGAAAGGAGGTGTCCACAAAACACTGGAGACTCTAAATCAAATTATTATAGGGTTCCTTCCCGTTCTGAAAGTGCTCACTCCTTCTCTTATACATGAATGCAAGTAATGTGCACACGCATATACACATCAGAGCAACTCATTGATGAAGTTACCAGTTCATCGTTTCCAGGTGAAGAGGGAGTTTCCTCTCACGTTGATGGGATGGTGGTGATGGTGAAGCTCTTAGGGTGTTTGCAGGGATTAAGTAGACCTGAAAGACAGATTTACTAATTTAGAAATGAGACTTAACCCCAGTGGACTAAAAAGGTAAAAGGAACAAAGGAATATTAGGACCAAGTGTATAGTCTCTGGTGTCAGACAGACTCAGGCTCACACGTCAGCTCCATTCCTGGCTGCCTAGGCCGAGCCAAGGTATTTAAACTCCTTAGGTTAGTTCATGCATCGGTAAAACGTGGCTAATAATAGATGTACAACGTGTATAGAGTTGTGAACAGAAAATGACATAATCTACATATAATGCAGTATTTACACATAGTAAATTTTCAATACATTTAACTGTAATGATTGCTTCCTTGTCTGGTGCCCCCATAGGAAGCAATGTAAATGAGCTTTTTGATGGATTTCTTTTCGTTTAGATTTCTGAAGGGAACTGTTCGCTAAGTGCAAATTTTCCAAGTGCCAGAATTTCAGCCCAGCTGTCTACTACCCAGATTCTTTTGGGTGCCACACCTGTAGGGTGAGTGAGTGCTGTCCTTTCTTGCTTGTTTTCTTTGATCATTATAACCATTTACGGAAAATAATTTTCTGACTTTGTAGAGATAAATTGCCAATATTTCTGTTTGAAAGGAGATTTTATAAAGAACACAGTTTAAAATGCATTTTACTATTGAATTGTTTCCATTGTCTCGTTGAATTGGGTGAGAACATTTCAAATAGGCAGAGCTAAATTTTTATTGAGTTAGGCATTAATTGTCTGGCTACCAGATTAGCCTTTCCTCTTCTTTCTCTCGCATTCTTTTTTCCCTTTTAAAATTATTTTTGGCCTTACTTATTGACATAGTTGGATAGACAATAAAGAAAACAGTATGCATATGGAACAGACAAGTTAATAATTACTATAGCATCACCAGTGATGAAGGCACGTTTGATCTGAGAGAGGATTAAGACTAGTGTGGACATAACTGGGCTCACACGATTAGGGCCTGGGCAGGAACCACACTTAACCTACTGTGCGCACTGGGGACACTATGGGGACCCTGGAGCACATCTTCTTGCACATGGAAGGCTGCATGTCTTTGAATTTCTCATCATGTACAATACTTTCAACACTAACAAGAAGTTTCTGGGAGGAAAACAACAAATTAAACCAATGCACACCCAAGTAGAACTGACAAAATACATCGGCTTTGCTTTTGCCCTGGAGGCCGCTGATTGTGAAAAGCATTGGGATTTGGGGAGAGGAGAGTGGAAGTAGAGATTGGAGAGTCTGTGCTGAAAGAGCGAAAAGATAACGGCTGGGCAGCCCCCTGGCTGACTGCACAGGACTGATTTGGACAGGTCTCAGTCTGTGTTGTAACAACTGTCAACTGTTTTGAATGTTTCCCTGAAAGTATGTATCTTGATTTTTTTTTTCTTCATTTCTGATTAATTTCAGATAATCAAAAGTTAGCAATAGATGTTTTCTGTTTTTATTTTTTAAATCCTCACCCAAGAATATTTTTCCATTGATTTTCAGATAGAGTGGGAGGGAGAGAGAAAGACAGTGATGTGAGAGAGACACATCGATTGGTTGCCTTCCAAATGACCCTTCCAGGGTCAGGGACTGAACTGCAACTGAGGTACATGACCTTGACCAGAATTGAACCTGAGACTCTGGTCCACAGGCCGACGCTCTAACCACTAAGCAAAATTGGCCAGGGCAGCAGTAGATGTTTTATCTAAATCTATTTACTTTATATAATCTCTTATATCATCTTCTAATTTCACTTGCTAAGGTTTAAAATGGCATTATCCATAAATTTAAAATAGCAAAATCTATTATAAATAATGTTGCAATGAATATATTCCTTCAAAATAATGCTTTGGGTTTCTTCAGATATATATTTATTTACAACAGCCAAGCTATGGAAGCAACCCAAGTGCCCATCAATAGATGAGTGGATAAAAAAGCTGTGGCACATATAGCAAATGGAATATTACTAGGCCATAGAAAAGAACAAAATCTTACCATTTGCAAGAACATGGATGGACCTAAAGGGTATTATGCTAAGTGAAATTAGTCAGTTAGAGAAAGACAAATACTGTATGATTTCACTTGTATGTGGAATCTAAAGAACAATACAAGCAAACAAACAAAACAGCAACAGACTCATAGATACAGAGAACAGACTGATGGCTGCTAGAGGGGAGGGGAGTTGGGGGGCTGGGTGAAAAGGTGAAGGAATTGAGAGGTACCGATTGGTAGTTCTAAACTAGTCATGAGGATGTAAAGTACAGAATAGGAAATATAGTCGATAATATTGTAATAACTATGTATGGTGCCAGCTGGGTACTGGAGATATCGGGGGGGACACTTGTAAAGTATGTGATTGTCAAACTACTATGCTGTACACCTGGAACTAATACAAAATAATATTTAATGTAAACTATAATTTAAAAAATGTTTTAAAAAACCATTGATGAAAGGGGAAAAAGAGCAATAGTTACAACAACAGAAAAGCTATTAAATACACACAAATAAATAAAATAGCAAATGCTTATTTCTTTTCCTTAGATGTCAACCAAATGAAGATAAATATTCTTTTAAAAGCTACGGTTCTGATTTCGTTTTTGGAGAAAACATGATAGAAAGAGTTTTGGTAAGATTTTGGCAAATGTTTCTATTATTATGTAGCGAGCAGTCCCTTCACATTTTTTAAGACAAATTAATGAAGACAATGTTAAATTGGAGCATATGCTTCAACTCCTGGCTTCAAAGTCACGTTTTCTTTCTTTAACTGGAAAGATTCTCCTGGGAAGCTAGTTTTAGTTGTTAGAATAATAGACAGAAACCCACAGAGGAAGAGAATTGTATAATTATAACATTAATGATGAGAAATATTAAATAGTTCTTGACGTGTGTTAAACCAAAGGTACCCAAGGAAATCCCAGAATTATCTGCAACAGTAAGACAAGCTCAGCTGATAATGACATTTTGATATAGTTTTTCAATAGCATTTTTTGTAACAAGATGCAGTTAAATTCATTTGCCATTTTTTTCTCATTAGCCACAACCTTCCCTTTCTGGCTCTTACAGAGAAAAGTGTTACTCTGACTTTTTTGGGTCTAGCTTTAAGAGGAAAATCACTTGCCGAGGGCAATATACTTGCCAGTGGAGCCCCCGCACTGTTATTCCTGCCACCCTGGTTCAGGACCGGGCACCCTCCGCACGAGGCCGGTGCTGCCCTGCCTCCGCAGAGCTCGTCTCTGCAACAGCGTCATCTATGCGGGAATTATGCAGCCAAGCGGAAGCTGGGGAGCACGCGTGCCTGTGCCTTCATCTGCTCCATCGCATCTTCACCCTCTTTCCGGCTTCTACCCAGACCGGAATCTGGGCTAAGACAGACCTTGGCAGCTACCTTGCCTTAGGCTACCAGTTACGTGATGGACCCCAAGGAGGCAGTGAAGATTTAAAAACCCATGAAAGGGCTCAGGTTAATGGAAGGATCAACTCACGAGGCCAGTTCATTCCAAGATTTTTAGGGCTTCTACATATCAGTCCCTTTTAAGATCTAGTTTATTCCACACCTGCTTCAGGCTCGAGCCCAATTCCAACAGCAGTAGCCTAGCATTTAGTTTAGAGGTACCCTTCTGTCACTCCCAAAGTGAAGGTCAACACCTGCAAATCCCAGAGCTGTTGACCCACGTCTTTGCATCTGAACCAGAATGGACCAACTTCCAGAGTGAAGTTCCAGGTAATATATTTAGGCACAATTATGCCATAAAACATTTATTCCTAAATTTCGCTCCAGGCTAGTCACGGCTTCTGTAAGATGTCACCGACAAAAATAAAATACTTTCCAAAGCTCATAGGATCAACCTTGTTACATTCAATTCAATGTAACAAATGTATTGTGTTCTTATTGGCATTAGTGTTGAAATGTATTGGCATTAGTGTGAATTTTGCCTGCTCACATCTGGTGAGCCTTTGAAGCATTTCTTATGCCCGGGCATCTCCCCAAACCAATTAGATCAGAATCTCTGTGGGTGAAACCTGGTATCAGATCATTCTAATATATAGCCGGGCTTGGAAACCACATGAGCAAGTGGTTATGCACAGCTGAAGGAGACCCTATGCTCTAGAGGTGCTTATGGTCTAGTAGAGAGAGATAGAGAGATACCTATACAAAGGAACTAATAAGGATCATCGATTTACTTGGAGGAGACATGTATGCACGTTCCTTTGGGCACTGTACATTTGGTTTACAAGAGAACCTGCCACTCCCTGTCTCTTTAAATTGAAAACATCTTAAAGGTAGGAGCAATGGAGGTAACTTGTATTTGTCCTCTAATTAATTCTGTAATTCGATGGCCTTGTGATTTGGGGGCCAGGATATCCACCTGACTAGTTAGCTGTCCTTGTGCTTTTAGAGTTAGTCATTAAGATTTCTGTGCCTTAGTTTCTATTTTCTTAAAATGAAAATAATCATACCCGTCTCTACCAATTTTAACAGAATAATGTGAAAGAATCTTGAGTTTGTACAGGAAATGATATAAACCTAAGCATCATTCCAGTTTTCCCTGTTCTGCACGAGGCTGTACAGTATCGTAAAAGGCAGGGTAATTACTGTCTTTTTCACACAGGCCTTGATTACAGCCCATGCGCAAAGAACCATATATGCAGCCTTAAAAGCAATTCTTGGCAAAAACAGTCTTGGAGAAAAATTAAGATTGTTTCTATTACAGTGATTTCTGAGACAGCTCAGTGGGTTCCCTGGATGATTTATTTTTATTATTGTTATTATTATTATCTTAAAAAAAATCCTCACTTGAGGATATGTTCATAGAATTTAGAGAAAGGAAAAGGGAGAGTGAGAGAGAAACATTGATCAGTTGCCTCCCATACTTGCCCTGACCAGTGATCAAACCTGCAACCTAAGTATGTGCCCTGATTGGGGATTGAACCTAAAACCTTTTGGTGTAAGGGATGATGCTCCAACCAACTGAGCCACACAGCCAGGTCTATTTTTCTTTCCTTCCTTCCTTCCTTCCTTCCTTCCTTCCTTCCTTCCTTCCTTCCTTCCTTCCTTCCTTCCTTCCTTCTTTCTTTCTTTCTTTCTTTCTTTCTTTCTTTCTTTCTTTCTTTCTTTCTTTCTTTCTTTCTTCTTTCCTGCCTTCCTTCCTTCTCTCTCTCTCTCTCTCTCTCTCTCTCTCTCTCTCTATCCTGCCTGCCTGCCTGCCTGCAATGGATAGAAACAGTGAATTGCTGGGAATACTGAAATACCTTGAAATAGATGTAGTTGCACTTCCTTGTAGGTATCAGGTTAGTCTGGTGGTAGCATGGAACAGCTGTTGCCTCCTTTTGTGCCTCTAAAACGTCGCACACTATCCCTGGAAAAGATCCCACTCAAGTAGGCTGGTAGTAACTGGATTGTGGTTCCTAAGGACCAGTACCAAGGTCCTCTAAGAACTGGGAGGAATTTCCTGTGTAGCACATAGGGAGCCCAGACAAAAACATAGCCATTGGGTTTGTTTACCCCTGTGTTTTAAAAGAAGAACAAAGATATCTTTTGGCTTACTGAAAACATATGAGAGTAAAATTAAGTAATACATCTTTCCCCCCACCTAGGGTACGCAAAAACTCACCCATCGTCAACTTGAAAATGACTCCTATGCCAAGGAAAAACCATTCAAATCCACTGTAAAATGTCCTAGCAACTCTCCAAACTCAAGTAAGAATTCTTTCATTTGTAAAACATTTGGTTCAACTAGTTTATTTCCTGTTTTCCCGTGTCATTAGTTTAATACCTATAAGATACAAAAACAATAGTCCAATATTTTAAAATGTATTGGTAAAGAATAAAGCATATAACTATGGTTACATGATATAGAAGCTTTTTAAAGTTTTTGACTTAACGATATGGGGAATCATTAAAGAGATTTACCTAAACTCAAGAACTTTGTTTTTCGAAAACACTCATTGTTATAAAAAAGTAGAAGAGATTTATTTCGTAGGGGCAACAAAGAATGTTCACAGTAGAGAAAATGGGGCCTTTTATGTGTTTCCACCCCCCTATTTTCTCTTAGGAATGGACTCTATTAAAAATATATCCCTAATTGAATCAGCTGCTGCTCTCTCTTCTAAATCCTCACCAAAATGCTTGCTGAAGAAAATTGATGTGGTAACAGGGGAGGAAGCAGAATATAATGTGATAAAGGTCTGTATATCATGTATCGTTCTTTCTGGTAGCACTTACTACATAGGATAAAGTTACCATCAGCAGAGATATCTTTCTAAAAAAGGCAGAAATATAGTTTTCAAGAAAACTGAGCTGCTTAAATAAAAATGTTGGACACTTCCAAAAAAATTAAACTAATATTTTGTTGCATTCTTACATTTGTACGTATATTTTTCAGGAAAACAGGTTCCCAACTATTCACAGTTGTTCTTTAGGAAGAAGAGAGCTCAAGACCCTTTCTTAATATAACTTCGACCTGTGTGTTCCACTTTTCAACCTGCTTGCATAGTCAGTGCTATTAGCATATGACTTAAAAATTCAACTTACACGGGAGGTTTTTCAGTGATGATAAGATGAATTGAATTTAGTTCAAGATAATAACATAATTTTATTTTCCTTTTGAAAGTTTTTAAGTAAGTTCTGAATTTCACGTAAGTCAAAAATTTCACAGATGTAGTGTATAGCATCACACATAGGATTTGACTGTTCAGTGGGCTAGGTGTCTCAAAGCATAGCCTTGGATCAGATTAACCCTAGACTTATCGAAGTAACCGCTAGGGGTGAGACCCTGGCATGCTGTATTTTATATCAAGTCATCTAGGTGATTCATGCACACACTGATATTTCAAAACCACTGATATTGTAAATTGTAGTAGGGTTCTCTGGTATCACATACAAATAATCCCACCAAGATTTCTTTCAAATAAATTGCATAGCTCAAATAACATGAAGTTTAATTTAAAAGTTGTTGTATCTATAGATATACAGGGTGGGGCAAAAGTAGTTTTCAGTTGTTCATATGTAAAATAATACAATAATTAGTAAGTAATAATGCAAGAATAAAATCTGTTTCATGTACTCACAACTATAAACCTACTTTTGCCACACCCTGTGTTGTTAAGTGAAAAAGCAAGATACAGAAAATAGAATGACATTTTACCATTTACAGGAAAAAAAAAGGGAACATATATATGTATTGGTATGTATATGAATAAACAAAATATTAACAATAGTGGTTACCATGCAGGAGGTAGAAAGTACAGATGGGAAACTCGGGTTGGGGAAGGACTTCTCACTTTGTACATCTTCTTGCTTTTTGGTGTTTGAACGATTCAAAACTTGTATGTTTTCAAAAGTTACATACTATTTCAAAGCTGATGTATAAATCATTAACAAAGGTTACTCTGGTAAAAGATCAAACAAATAAAAGTATAGGGAAGAATCTGAAAAAGCTTCCCATATATCTGACATTTTCAAATATCGTCCTTCAGATCAACTGCAAGCTTTTCGTATTCAACAAAGTAGTGCAGTCCTGGAGCGAGAGGGGCCGAGGAGCTTTGAGACTGAACGACTCGGCCAGCAGTGACTCTGGAACCTTCCAGTCGAGACTCAGTAAGGAATCATTTTGTACAGCAGGACGCTATGTCTCAGGGCATGTCATTTTCTGGAGAAGTGTTATAAAATGTGCCAGTAAATCAGATTGTTGGAAAGCAATCGGACTGGGGGGCTTCCTGTTGATGGTAGGTTCTGATGTCAGAGAACACAGGTTCCAGTTCAGGTTCCCCCACTGACAACGGGTGACCTTGGACAAGCTACTGAGCCTCGCTCTGTCCTAGTTGTACCCATTTAAAATGGGGATAGTGGCCCTGGCCGGGTAGCTCAGTTAGTTAGAACATGGTCCCAATGCGCCAAGGTTGTGGGTTTGATCCCCAGTCAGGGCACATACAGGAAGCAACCAATTAATGCATGCTACATAGGTGGAACACCAAATCGATGTTTCTCTCTCTCATGCTAAAAATCAATAAATACAAATTTAATAATACTCCATAACGTATTGAGCGATTTTGAGAATTCAGTGAGATAATGCACGTGAAGCACCCATGGCAGAGCCCAACACACACCTAACTAGTAATCCATTATTATCTAAAGGGATATGTTACAAATTATTTAAAAAGAGAATTTTTCTAAAAGAGAATATTTTCCCTCTATTATACTCTTACAATTCTAAACACGGCGTGTGGATTGCACTGAAGGGTCAGTTTCCAAGGAAATAAAAATGCGTCATTATCAAATCCCGCAGACAGAGAGATGGTTGGAATCCGGAGTCAGTCAAACCGAAAGACTCAGGACGTTTTTGGCATCTGAAAGACACATGGCCCTTGTTCAGAGGCTCAACCTTAAGTGAGCCCAAGCAGAGATCTGGCTAGGGTGGATAGGCTTGGCTGGCTGGTCAATATTAGGTGGTCAGAGCCGTGGAGGAGACAGTTGGATCTAAGTATATGCGTGTTTGTTGAGTTTCAGATATCAAGCTCAAGAAATGGATAACGAGTAGAATTCAGACTAAGAGAATAGAAACACTGTCTTCAGTTCTGTAATTGGCAAACAGGTTTCTCAGTAACCCAACCAAGTATTATTCCCAAGGCAGGTGCTGGTTGTTTTTCTACACTGGTTTAATTTTACTCCTTTCACCGCCTGCCAAAAAAGCCACAGAACAATTTTTCTTTTTTATTATACATAACATGTTCATTACAGAAGAGAGAAAATACGGATCAACAAAAAGAAAAAAAAAAATCACTCATAGGTCTATCTTCCTGTGATAGCCTCTGTTTACATTATATATTCTTCTAGACTTTGTTCTCTACGTACATAAATGTATACATATATTGAAACGTGTGTGATTCATGGTGTTGAAATTGCTTTGCAACTGGATTTCCTCTACATAATATGCCATGATCACCTTTCTACATCAATAATTCACTTTCTTCAGTATGCTTAATATGTTCATATTACCTTGAATAGTGGTACCATCACTTATTTAAGTAATTCCATTTCTGAATGCTTAAAGTTTCTGTTTCAGTTTTCTCTATTTTAAAAATTTTTGGATGAGTTCTTCAGAACATGAGGTCCTCAAAAGAGTTATAAAATTTTAATCATTTTTAATATTATAGAAAAAAATATATATATAATACCAGCATTATAACAAAAAAAAACTTTCAACATATTAAAGCCTAATTTGAAAACCAAGTTATAATCTAGTCAAAGTTAATAGTGAAAATACAATCTGAAAAATAAGTATAATTTATACTGCTTTCCACAATGGGAAATTCCCCTGGAAGTTTAAGAAACGAACACCCTGGCCCAGCCAGTGTGGCTCAGTGGTTGAGCGTCGACCCATGTGCCAAGAGGTCGCCAGTTTGCTTCCCGGTCAGGGCACACGCCCAGATTGTGGGCCCGATGCCCAGTGGGGTGCATGTAAGAGGTGGCCAGCTGATGCTCTCTCTCATCAATGTTTCTCTCTCTCTCTCTCCCCCTCTCCCTTCCTCTCTAAAAAATCGATAAAGAAAAACAATGTTTTTAAAAGAAGAAATGAACTGTCCTGTAGTCTGATATATTCACCTTCCTATTTTAGTTATGCGCAATCAAGGTAGCCTGCGGCTGATTCTCAATAGCAAACTCTGGGCTCAAATGGAGATTCAAAGAGCAAACCACCAAAATTTACGAATAACAGCTACTGATTTAGAAGACTATAGCATCAAGGTGTTCTTAATTCAGGTAAGTAATACATTTCAGATCTGTGTAATTACTAATTTTTTTTTATAATTTTATTATGATAACCCATATCATTGGCAAAAATTCAGCCATTCATTTTGGTTGTTTACAGTCTAATATAAGACCTAAATTTTACATGCAATTTAGACATTAACACCAACATCTATAGTGATCCATTGATATGTGTCCCAAGACATTTTTATTGATATATGCCATTGAACCTCTACATTTTTCTTTACTATTGAAATTATGTCAACAATCTTACTAACTCACCAAAGAGACTATTGTCAAGACTGGCTCCTACGAAGCCAGCAGAATCCATAGCCTGATGCTTACACTGAATGCTGAAACTGAGACGTTTTTGAGATCACTGGAAAGGAATAAGTGAGAAATGGAAAAACCCAGGGCTAGCAAGTTAACCAGTCTAACAGCAAATTTCAATTCTGGACATGAGTCAGTCTCCAAGGTAACAGGATGAGAGTACAGCTTCAGCTGTTTCCTGCAACAGGAATGCTTGACCTTAAATAGAAGATATCCGGGCATAAGAGACAGAGCTGGCAGGAATCAGGTCAGAAAAAAGGCTGGGTCTCCCCTGTGGGCTGAGACCAAGGAGACTGGAGAAAACTGAGTACCCAAGTGACTCAGGCAGAAGCAACTAGACAAGTGAATTGGCTTCCACACAGTAATGAAAAAAAGTTGGCAAGTGACCATTGGTGAAAAACCAAAGGTTTTGTTAATTACCAGTAAGTGCACTGCAAGTGTAGAGTATTGAGATGCTAGAGAAAGGTGATGCCCAAACCCTGTTTATCATTTAGGGAGATGATACTCTGTCAGGCCAGATCAGCTGGCTTTGAATGGGTCAAGCAGCCTGCCTGAGACTAGAAACTATGACTAGTTTCTGCTGTTCAATATCAGACCCATGCTGTCTTTTTAAATTATAGGATATTTTTTAAAGATAAGCAAACAAAATGCAAATAAAAAACACCCCAAGTTCTACTCCCAGAGATGGTCACTATTGATATTTTGGTCTTATACTGTATTTTAGCATATATACATGTAATGTGTATGTGCCATACTGTACATACTGTACATATGATTTAGGCTTCCTTAACTGACTTTATTCATCTACTAAATGAAGATAATAGTAATATACTTTATAAAGTGATTGAGAAGATTATATAGCTAATATTTTATTGTAAAATACATATATATAACCTTTTCATATATCAATGAAAATGAGTTTTTGTGTCATTAAACAATTTATTCTTCAAAAATTCTCTTAACAGGTGAAAAGAATTCTGTTGTATTATGTACCATAATGTATTCCATTAATCCCACTTTATTAAACACTTCAGTGATTTACTGTTTCATTATTATAAATTCTTTTTTCTTTTTTTATCCTCACCTGAGGACACTTTTTGATATTTTGTTCAGATAGAGCAGGATGGAGAGAGAGAGAGAGAGAGAGAGAGAGAGAGAGAGAGAGAGAAACATCGACATGAAAAGGACACATTGAGTGGCTGCCACCCACACGACCCAACCAGTGCCGGGGACAGACTGCAACCGAGGCACGTGCGCTTAGTGGGAACCGAACCCAGGTCTCTCCAGACCGCAGGCCAACGCTCTAACTGCTGAGAAAAACTGGCCAGGGTTCATTATTATGAATTCTTTAAGAGGGCTGCAAGAAACTCTCCATGTACATACATGTTAATTTTCTTGGGAAAAGGTTTTCACTTGTCTTGACAAATTTCTCTCCAGAAAGACTGAACCAATTTTCATTTTCACCAGCATTTTTCATGGTAGTTGCTCAAAATTATAATTTTTTTATTATTGCAAATTTGTTATTCAAAAAATACATCATGGTATTTTATTTTTAACTTCTTGTTCTGAATTTCTTAAATGAAAACATCTAAATGAATTTTTCAAAAGGAAATAAATATATTGACTAATGAAAGGCATTTAAAATTTAATGTAAGAAAGTCAAGGAAGCAAAATAACATTTATATTTCAATTACAAATACTCTTCAATATTTGTTATTAATGAGCTTACTAAAGAAAAATTACACCTTTGCATGTGATATAAAAAATTAAGTTAGTCAAGTCAACAAATATTTACTCAAAAACTACTCTGTAATATTGACTACATTATGAGAAACAAAAAATCTTTTATTGCACTTAAATTTCGTTTTTTCCCCCCCACAAGTATTCAAAGCAACTTAAGAACATGCACATGAAAAAATACCTACTTTGAGACCCTTCTCCCAAGAGCTGACGTACTGTTAGTTAAACCCTCAATTCTGGGTTTTAAAATGTTTGACAAGTCTCTGGAGAATCAACAAAGAGAAAAAACTTCCCAGACTTTGAAATTGTGAAAAGATACAAAAATATAAACTACTGCCATGTTACCTTAAAGAACACTGAGTTAGATGACAAAAACATGGGATTCAAGTGCCAGGCAATTAGCCAACTAGCTGTATAAACTTGGACAAGTTGTTGTACCTTTCAAGCCTAATCCCCTCATCCGTAAAAGGAAGAGGGAAACAATACTATGTTGACTACCTGTGATATATGCTCTTGTCAATATAAATGGAATAAATAACCAGTTTTATTGTAAAAATTGGGCAAAATATAATAGCAAGTGTTATACAAATGGTATTGTTACCATCACTTTTATATTAATAGCAACCATAAAAGTAGCATAGAAAATTTTGCACTGAAAACAAGTGATTCTGATGTGTTGATGGTACAACATCACAGACTGCTCTAATGAGCTCTGCTTTTCCACAGAGCTATGTGGCCGGCAGGGACGTCCAAGCGAAGTGATGTAAAGTAAATGAAGTCCTCCCCACCCCCAGCTCTACCATTTCTACAGGGTAAAATAGTGGAGGAAGGATGGTTTTCACAAAGTTAAATTCAAAGAGAAATTTTTAATCACAAAATTTCACTTTCTCAGCACCAACTGGGACCTCTTACAAAATTATCCACTTTAGGATTGGGTTTAGTTCAAGATAAATGGACTTTTTACCCTTTAGATTTTAGGGCTTTTTATATTCTAGATTTATGTCATATAATTCCTTTCTTATCAATGGTGAAAGAGTAAAAATCCTTAAAATATGGCTAATATTAAGTTATTTATATGCTTAACAAGTGAATTTTCCTCATGTAGGCCAGTGCCAAAGATACAGGATCCCTGCACGCAGCAATACACCATCGTCTGGTTGCTCTTCGAAGCTTCCATCAGCGGGAAGACGTAAATCAAGCTGAAAGCCAGTCAGAGTCAGTCCTTCAACAGTTCAACTGCGACAGCTGTGATGAGGATGAGGATGATTTCATCCAAGTCACTAAAAATAGATCAGGTAAAGGACTTTTCTTTTGGTAGGTCAGAGGTTTAAGAAATAAATCTTAAACACAATCCTAATATATGAAATAGATTTTTTAAAAGTGGAACTGATCTGTTTAAAGTGGGCCTGGGTTAGAGCCCTTGTTGTTTGGATCTGGGGAGTGGGTTTGAAAATCTGTCTTCTATATGGACCTTCATTAGGATTTTACGGGAAGTCAGACTCTTCATGATGCCTGCATATTATTTACATATAAATGGTATAAAAGACCATTTTTACAATTAAAAGTATTAATTGCTACCCTGAAATGAACCATTTATTCAGATTTTTCTTCACTTGCTCTCATTCTCCTATTATTGGCCATAATAGGAGAAATTATAAATACTTGGAATGGAGCCACCAGGCAAATCTGGCTTGAAACATCAAAAGCCCTTTCTACTCCCTTTTTGGAATCTGACTGCTCTATTTTCAAAGACTTTCTTTGCCTGGTACAACATGAATTATTTCTTTTATTGTGTGAGGATTCATGAACTGAGTGAGGTTGAAGTGGAACCACTACTAATCAGACTTTTTCGTTTCAGTGTTTGTCCTGATGAGTGGATTTAAAATTAAAGTTCATCATTATTTCTGGAGACAAACATTGTCAAGGAAACAATGAGCTCTGTTATGTAGATGTAGGTATTCTGATAAAGTCAGCCAAATATTTTCAGTAATAGTTTCATTTAGCGTTGAAGTCTGCTCTTCAGAGGACTGAGTGATACACTTACAAAGATAGTGTGTTGTTAGCAAGCAGTTTTCCAACTTTTAATCATCTTAAATCTTAAAGCTACATTAATCCAACATAACTTAAGAATCCATCAAAAATCACGTGTGGAACTCCATGAAATATCTTCCTTTGCCTAACCGTAAAAATGTAATCAGGAAAAAAATGTGCCAAACATGCAGATAGATTAGGATCATAAAGTGCTTGACTCAGTGAATCAGAGAACTAAGTGAATATGATTTTTCTTGTTATTATTAAACACATGGCTTATTATTCTTTGAAATCTATGTAATGTATGAGATCTTTATCTTTTATATTATTATAACATTTATATGTCAACAATAAAATGGGGTCTATTAGAAAATGAGTTGGTTTCCACTAAAAATGTTAACTTGAAAAAAGAATTAAATGGCCAAAGTCTCATCAACAAATGACCTGTTTATAGAATCTATATTTTTAAATATGCAACTGTCTTCAGATGAGAGACAATGGAAATAATGCAAAATAAATGTCAATCATACGAGCCTCCTCCTTCTCCTTTTCCCTTTTCATTTAGTACCTTCTCCAAGAGGTGTTACATAGAAATGCTAAAATGTTATGAAAGCAATAAAAAGTCTAATTTTTGAAACTTCGTTGCCCATGATTTCAGGAAGGGTTTAATTATTTGAAAATGCCATATTTAAAATTAGCAACATTTCCAAATGTTACTTATAAAAATATAAATTCTATATATTTCATTTCTTCACCAGTAAGCATATTCATGACCATTCCTGTTCAGTTGTATTCAATATTACATCTACTCTGAATATAACATTGTATAATAAAATATTTTAAATTTATATCACAGATCCTTCTAGGTGGACCCACCGACAGTCAGTTGCCTGTTCATGAATGCTACCTACTATAAACATGACAACATCTACACAAAGATTGGTCACCTACTGAAAATACTAAGCCATCCTAACTAAACAAGAAGATCCTATTCTTTCCTTGAAGAGTTTTAATAGAAAAGTTCATGAAATATAATGTTGCAACTACAGTTTTTCTCTTATGTAGTCTAATAATTCTGAGGTTTTACATTTGGATTAATGTGGAGAAAATTACAATCTAAGAAATACATGGACTTTGAAAGTTCAAAATTTGTCATTTTTGAAGAAGTTAACTTAGCATAGGATTTGATAACTAATTTGGACTATTTATCACATGGATGGATATAATAGTTAAAATTATAAATTGCTGGATTTGATAAATATCTAAGTAAAATATTTATTTTTTCAGTCATGTATTGTGTGGCCATAAGACAGTAATTTCCAATATTTCCAGTCCTTTCTTTGAAAAATACTATAACTGAATAGTCACATTTCATTAAAACATGTTTTTCATCTGGGAAATGTGTATTTTCATTCAGCTTTTGGATTTCCTAATACTATAAGATTATGTATTCATGTATTCCTTTAAAGAGAGTATTTGTTCTTGGATTTGTATCTACTGTACTTTGTGTATGCTTGAATCATGGTCAGCCTCCGACAGTTGTTGAAGGAATGAACAAAATACATTAACTATGTATCAAAACAGTAAGTATGCAAAAGGGGAAATATTTTAACTTGTTCTTTGCTTTGTTTATGTAATTAAGTTGTCATTAATATTCTAGTAGGCATGGCAGTAAAGAGACCTTTTTTAAACAAATACATATAGCGAAATGAAATTTTTCTTTAAAAATTCAACAATTATTTCAACAATCATGCAACAGAGTTTTGATGCTCCTCTTTTTATTTTTGTTTCAGAGACAATGTGTTACACAAGAAAATTAGTCTCAGTACTTGTAGCTTATCTTTCAGTTTTCAATCCAATTTGATCACCACCTGGACCCCTAAACGATTCCCCTGTTGCAGGCATCTTGGTCTGCTCAGTCGGCCCTAACAGAATATCACAGACTGGGTGGCTTAAACAACAGAAATGTATTATTTCTCACAGTTCTGGAGCTGGAAAGGTAGATTTCATCCTGAGGCTTCTTCTCTTGTCTTATAGGGGGCCACTGTCTCACTGTGTGCTCCCATGATCTCTGGGAGCATGGCAGAGAGGGAGAGGGAAAGTTCTCTGGTGTCTCTTCCTATAATCTCATCAGACCAGGGCCCCACCCTCAGACCCTCATCTAACCCGTTACCTCCCAAAGCCCATCTCCAAATACCATCGCACTGAGGGGGTAGAGCTTCAACATATAAATTTTGCAAGAACATAAACATTCAGTCTATAACAAGGGAATAAGATTCACAGTTCCAAAATGATTTCTGAAAATGTTTTGATATTTGAAAACTTTGGCATTGGAGGAGTTATGGAAATAACTGGTAAATGTTTAGAGTAATAAAGACCTGATGTATAATAGTTTTCAAAAATTGGAGGTTTACCAAAAGTTAATTTTTGCCAATCTAGTAGGGGCATAAAAGGCTATTTCACTATTATCTTAATTTGTTTTTTTCCTAATTTCTAATAAGGTTCAGTATCTTTCAGATATTTATTCCTTGCTGTGTTTCTCCCAAGAAATTCCTGTTCAAATCTTTGCAAAGCTAAGCATGTCATTTTTTTCTTTTTAGTGGCTTCCTAGCATATATGGGATAGAGCCAAGTTCCTAAGCATAGATATACTTTCCATGTCTTTCCCTGTCTGCCTCTCTAGCCTCACCTCCCACTGTTGCCTGCCTCTCTCTAAGTCCTCTAGGGACTCAGAGCTGCTATGTCATTGCTCCATACCTTTTTGGAATTCCTTCCTCACTCTTGCTGATTCTAGCTTATCTCTACTCATTCTTTAAGGCTTACCTCATGACATTTCCAGAAAGTTTTTCATAACTTCTCTTAGGCTGAATTAAAACCTGTTCCTCCAGATTCTTGTAACGTTCTGTGTATAAACTTTATTCTCTTTAAGGGGAAAGACTACCTTTTACTTGCCATTTTATTTACCTTTTATTTATCCTAGTAGGGGATAAATATGGCCTATAGTAGGCAATAAAATATAAATAATATAATATAATAAAAATATAATAAAAATATAATATAGTAGGCAATAAAATATAATTTGATCTCTACTGACATGTGATTTATGTTTAAGGCTCAACAGAGAGATCAAAATAAGGATTTGAAGCTCAGAAGGCAGTCTGGGCTAAAGATACTGGTAGCTAAAGTCGTATAAGGGGAAGGAGGGTAATATTTGCACATGTCTAGACATTTGTACACATATTTACAACTTTACAAGGTAGCTGTTCCTTTATAAATGAAGAAGTAGGATTAGAAAGGTTAAGGAACTAGTCCCAGGATGACAAAGGTAATAAATGGTGAAGCTGGGGTTTGAACCAAGGTCTTTTTAAATCCACAGTCCAAGCTCTCTGCATTATATACAATACTGGATGGACTCATGCAGAAGAGTGGAGAGAGAGAGAAGAAAAGGGAAAGGAAGGGAAGGGAAGGGAAGGATAGATCCTAAAGATGAGCTAAGGAAGAACACAAAAAGGGGACAGAGAGATGGGAGGAACACCATTAGAGACTGGTTTGTTGGAAGCCAAAGTAAAAAATTTCAAGAGGAAATGATAACCATTTATAATGTTGCATAAAGATCACGTCATTTAAGGACTGAAAAAAAAAAGTAAAATGTCATAGATATGAGCATGTTTAAATAATGAAGAGGAAAATCCAGTAGAGGGAGAATTAAAGATACATTAAAGGGAATAACTTGCTGGAGTAATATTTGAGGAGGCAGAAGGGATGGATTCCAAAAATAACAATGGACAAAGGGATTGCCCAACTGAGAAGATGTCAATGTGGGTAAGTTTATATCTGGAAATGGGGGAGATCCAAAAATTTGAGATCTCATTTGTGAAATGGGAAGAAAAGTGGTCTGAAATTTCACATACACTAGACCAGACTCAGACTTTGATCATGAACTGGTTTTTTAGATTCCTTTTTTCAGTCAAATGCATCACTGACATTGCAGTATACATCTGAGCTTCAAACCTGTGTCATCTGTGACTTCTTCCTAATATCGAATGAATTACAAAGTATTCGAACAGCATAAAACAGGAAGCACCTTGAGGACGTTCAAGTTATAACATCCCACAGAAATTGAGAGTTATGCTTAAGTTTCTTCTATAAGTCATTATTAGCAGCTGCTGTAATGCAAAGTTCCTGGCCAGAGGGATCAGTGACGTTTTTGTTTGTTTGTTTGTTTTTGTTTAGGGCCTTCTGGTGAAAACCGGAAGACCTACTAGACAAATTCAAAAAGAGCTGTAAGCACTAAGGGATCAGTGAAGGGATCAGTGACTATTAAAAGTAGACATCTATCAGACTCCATGGTGTATTTCCCAGTTTAACATACTACCTGGCACACAGTAGGGACTCAGTAAATATTCAGTGAACCCATGAGAACGTTGCTGGTAGTGGCTAGGCGAAAAGTAAGTCACAGATTCAGAATCAATTGGCAGTTCAGCTCCCTCATTTACAGATGAAGAATCTGGGGCCCAGAAAGATGAAGTAACCTGCCCAAAGTCCAAAAGCTAGTTACTGATAGTGCTAGGACTACAGGGAAGCAAAGAGGGTGCCAGAGCAGGTGGATCTAAGGAGCAGGAGGGATAAACACTAAGGTGAGCACTGTCATTTAAGTCTCCCCTTAAAATAGGAACATTTTCTTCCATTTCCATGGCTACTTCCCTAGAGCAGATCCCTGTGTAACCGTCCCAACAGCACCCAAGTCTCCCTTTCTCCTCTTGCCTCCAATGTGCTCAACATTCCAAAGCCAGATCGATAGTCATCAAACATTGCTTTCGGGACTCTAGTCTCTCCAGTTAAAATTCCTCTCAGGCTAACTGCTACCTATACATAAGATAAAGTCCAGATTACTAACATTCTTAACCCTTCGGTCTTACCCTATTTTTTCAACCTTATCTCATCTGGAAATGCTCCACTTGGCCAGACTCCTCTACCCATTAACCTCCAACTTCCTCAAAGGCTCTGCCCCCTCTTTCTTCCTCTGGGCTTGTTTTATTTTATTTTATTTTTTGGGGGGGTGGTCCGCAGGGGCTGAGTCAGGGCCCTATGCTTAGATGGGCTCAGCACTGGACTTACGGCTCTCTTGCAATTCTTAACCAATTCTGAACAAGGGGTTTCGCATTTTCCGTTTGCACTAGGCCCTACAAATTATACAGCGGGTGCTGGAAGGTCTCCTCAGCCCCTAGCCCAGGGTTGTAAATATCAGTCCTCCAACATTCCTTGAATGAAGGAACAAAGGGTCTAGTCTCACGAGCAATAATGAAATAGTCTAGACTTATGTGGTCTTTTCTTAAAGATGTTTTTATTGATTTTAGACAAAGGAAGGGAGAGTGAGAGGGGGAGAGAGAGAAACATCCATCTGCTGTCTCCTGTGGGATCTTGAGGACCCAGCCAGCAACCTGCACGTGAGCCCTGATCAGAAATCCACCTGGTGACCTTTGGGTGCATGGGACTACGCTCAGCCACCCCGGCCACGGCTGTGGTCTAGTCTTATGTACAATCATGAAAAAGGACAGAATCGCAGCAAGGAGTTCCCAGACATGGGCCTTCCCGCCAGACTCTCAAAACCCCACGCGCACCCCCCGCCGTGGCTCCAGGCCGCTTCCAGCTGGGTTCTTTAGGGCGGCTCCAACGCCAAGTAGAACCCCAGCCCTTCCCCTGGCCGCAGCCAATCCCCGCAGCTTTTCCGGCTCCGAAACCGCAGCAGGCTCCGATTGGCTGACAGAGTTGGCGGGCGGCTGATTGGCTGACAGAGTTGGCTCGGGCGGGAGAGCGCCTGCAGGAAAGGGGTGGAGCGAGAAGTTGGCCCCCAGGCGGCCAAGTGCCCTCTGCGCACGCGCGGATGGAAACGCATCCACAAACAAACAAAACCCACCACCGTAAGGGCTCCAGCTCTTCCCCGCCCTCCTTTACCTCGCGTGGGCTCTGCCCCCTTCCAATCGCCCGGCTTTCCCCGCCCCCGTCAACGTCTGGGCACATCCCCCTCGCGGCGCGGGCCACGCAGGGCCCTGCACTTAACCTCTGGCCGCCCGGCGCGAAGTTAGAGGCTGGGGCGGCGCGGGCGGCGCGCACACCTGGCGGCGGGCAGCGGAGGCGGGAGCCCGGGCCTGTAACCTCCGCCGGGCGCACGATGACCTGCTACCGAGGCTTCCTGCTGGGCAGCTGTCGTCGCGTCGCGGGCGGCCGGGCGGCGGCGCTGAGGGGCCCGAGCGCGGGAGGCCCCGCCGCGCGGCCGCGGCTCGGCGGAGACGGGGGCGGCCGGCGGCACCTGGGGCAGGGGCAGCCGCGCGAGCTGGCGGGCTGTGGCAGTCGCCCCGACGGCGGCTTCCGCCCGTCGCGGGTGGTGGTGGTGGCCAAAACCACCCGGTACGAGTTCGAGCAGCAGCGGTACCGTTACGCGGAGCTCTCGGAGGAGGACCTGAAGCAGTTGGTGGGTCCCGGCGGCCCTCGCTCTCGGGTCTGGGCCAGAACCTCGTTCCCGAGGCGCCCTAGATGCTTTGCCTGCCCTCCTCCCTCTGGCTTCGCTCTAGGTTCCCGCCCGCCGCTGGGTGAGAGACCGAGAGGGAGGGTCGCTGTTCGTGGGAGACCCCCGAGGCGGGGCGTCTGCAGGAGGCCTTGGATGGGGGACCAGGGGCCCCCCACAGTCGAATGGGTTTGGGGATTAATGTGTGCCCTCGCCACCTCGCCCCCTTATTGGGAATAGGACAACGGCTCCAAGGAAGGCTGGCCTGGGACTGACGTCCCGATGCTCTGCAAAGAGCGCCCCAGGCCGCCCCGAGAAAGCGGGACCCCAGCGCCGCTGCGAGGGCGAAGGGACCGCGGACACACCCCCTTTGACTGCAGGACTGTCCCGGACACTCTGTAAGCCGGTCTGGGTGAGCCTTTTCCACGCTGGAACGTGGTGGTCAGACAAGGTTCTAGCAGTTTATTTTAAAAGCACACGTGCCTTTGGTGCTGTTAAGAACATGGGAGAAAATTTGACTTTGAATATATGTTATTAAGTGGAAAGGTCAACACAAAGGGATGGCAAACCTGGTAATTATGAGCTCAAGAGCCGACGACTATAACATAACAGTACCTCCACAATAGACTCTATTTGGTATAGGTATTTATTAATATTTTTTGCAAGATATATGCATCCATCCAAGGAAGAAACCCTGAATATTATCCCCCTTCCCTTTCATTTAGAAACTTATGATCCCATGTCCCCATCTACCAACTCTAGGAAAAGGAGAGTGAGGGTGCTTCCATGAACAGTATGTCTAGAAAAAAATTCCCCATCGGAAACCTCTAACTGTTGACACTGCAATGAAAGGCTTTGGAATGAACTGCCTATAACCGAATCTTGTAGAACTTGAGTAAGAGTAGATAGCCTGTTATAAACTTCTGGTTTATAATCTTAAGCACATTTTTTGTAATATTTTATGGAGGTAGCTAAATAAAACTGTAAATCATCTTTGCTTAAGTACTGAATCTATTTTCAGCATTAAAACTTCTTGATTCTTGAATGAGTTAATTGAAGAGGGGCCCTGCATTGATCTGATTAAGTGCTAGGTGCAGATTTGTTTTCTCTCCTTTTTGTAAGTGGCTGAATGTAGCAATGGACAGAAATCAGTTGCCACTTTTAAATAAGAGTCAATCAACAAACAAGTGGGGGAGGTTGGAGTAGTTAAGTTCGGGTTAAGGGTGTGAAATTGGGGGTGAGGCAGTGAATAATATCAGAAGCAGGTGTTTCTGTTTTGGGAAAAAGGTATGTCCCTTGGGATGTACTCCTAATGTCATAAGATCTACTTTTTAGAAGTTGTCAAATGCCATATTCCCATAAGTATGTTCTTTAACATTATGGAAGCCTCCACAACAATTTAAAATAGTATACTTGATTGGGATGATTAGTGTGGGATTATTGGGGCTTAGGAAATTGGAGTATGAAGCCCAGGTTCTGTGTGGTTAACTTCCTTCCTATGAGTTTTTTTTATCTGGGACTCAGGTGAAAGCAATACTTTTTCTGTATTGTCAGTTTTCAAAGTGCTTTTTGCCTAGTTCAGTATGTGAAATACTAGAGTTGGACTAGATAGCCTACAAGGCCCTAGAAAGGCTGGCATTTTGAAACTGGGTAACTTTTTCAAGGCCTCAAGAAAATGGGTGCCATCTAAATTAGATTAATTTTTGGACCTCTGAACTAGATTTCCACTAATCAAAACTTTTAAAATGTAGACAAATCAGTAAGTCTTTAAATATCGAACTGCCTAGTGTCCCCACTCAGTCTGAAGAGACTGTCTCTAATAGGTAAATATTTGTCTATCACTAGGTAATGCTGTTTGGGATAAGAAAACTTTGAAGTAAAACTTCTGGACTATATAACACAGTTTTGAAATAGTTGTTTTTATTTCAATTAAGTTTTATTGGGTTAGTTTTATCACTTACATTAGGGCCATTATTTAGAATGGAATAGCATTAGGTGGATCATCCTAGACCAGAGATCAGGAACAGCACAGAGAGTACTAGGCTGTGTGTGAAGTTGTTCTAAAGTGGATTCTGTATTAGGAATGGAAAGGAATACATTTTGTATTAGGAATGTATTAATATTGTTTGCTATTTTGTTGGGGGTAAGATACTAAGGTATACAAATCATGTGAATTTGGTATAAAAGAAAGTGGCCAAGTGCTTACTTGAGTCTTCTGTTACCATGGTTGCTGCCTCTAGTGTCATGGTAACCTGAAGTTAGTTCTTTTTTTTGGTGGTTTTTTGTTGCAAATAGATATCAGTTAGGTTACTTAGGTTACTTGTTAAAATGCAAAGGGAAGATGGGAATGGAACGTCAGTATAATTTTATATTCAGAAACCTCATGGTTTTCTGACTTGGTAGAAAAGTAAGCAATTAGAGGAAATACTTTTTAGTTGATAAAACATGTACAAAATAGGTTTACATCCTTCATATTTTGTCAGATACTCTTTCATATTGGTTACATTGCTTAATTTTTAAGTCTTGCTTTTCCCTTCCCCTAACTGATCAGTGACTTCTCTTATGAATTGAGTCTTTTTAGTCAAGGATTTTATTTCTACTGGCTCATGACCTTGCAAATATTAATTAAACTATTATTGCAGTTTATATCATATACGATGTATCTGTTGGCAAATATGGAGCTTTTATTAACAGAGTCCAAGAGACTCACAAAGTAGACCAGGTTTATAAATGGTCCCTAGATCACACTTTAAATAAATCAAAGCTGTTTGGAAAGGCTTTTTGACATCATAAACATGCCTTATTGGCCAAAAAGAAGGGTTTATTTAAAAATATTTTGAGGACTGTGGACCAAAGGGTCACAGGTTTGATCCCCCTCAATATTTTGATGTATACCAAATAAGAAATGTGCAGTTTCCACCCTCCTGCCCCTTCCAACTGCAAGTGTTACAACCCCAGATGCAACCCCCTTTAATGGTTCTCATTTATAGTATTAAAACTGTTTTTCAAAATGAGATAGAATAATTTCATTTAGCAGCCCCTCTATTACAGGATTAAACTATTCCTAGTTATACCCTTGTTAACAGATTTGGGAGATGTAGCACCTTGGATTTTGTTTCCCTTACTCTGTTTTCTGAAAACAAAGGTGTAGCTTAGGTTGTAGTTCTTGGGCACATAATACTTTTGCCACATGGTGTGCAATGAGTATAGTTTATGCAGTATGTGTATTTATCAAATTAAAGAACATGATCTGGAATACTGCCAGAGCCTTCTAACGGAAACTTTACTCCTCTTAAATCTTTCACACACAGGCATCAGCGTGGTCTATCTGAAGTGAACATTTGGCCACTTTATTCTTCTGCTTAGAACTCCTCAAAATCTCCCCATAACTAGTAGAGTCACCTAGGGAATTTGTTAAAATGAAGATGCCTGAACCTTAGCCCTTAACCTTCTCCCTTTACCCCCCATGCCCCGCCCAAAGATTCTGATTTGCTTTGTGGAGAACTAGACTCTGCTTTTCTGAACCATACCCTTAAAGATTGCTGAGTCAGCATTTTAAAACCAAGCCCTCGAGGTTTACAAGTGGCCCCCAGATCACACTTTGAAGAGCACTCCTATAGGTGAACCTTCATGATCTTTAGTGTGCCCAACAAGTGCCTTCATGAACTGGCTCCTGCCTACCTGTTGAACTTTATTTCTGATCAATTCTTGTCTTATGTTTCCTTTCAGAAATAATCTATACATACAAATCAACACAATGAAACATTTTTTTGCTTTGTCTCCTCCCTTTTTGCTCAATAATAACATATTAAGCTATTATACATCTATTTTTTTTATTGGTTTTGAGAGAGAGAGAAAGAAACATCAATGTGAGCAAAAAAAAAATATCAATTGGCTGCCTCCTGAACATACACCTACCAGGGATTGAACCTGTAACTTAGGTGTGTGCCATGACTGGGAATTGAAACCACAGCCTTTTGGTGTAGGGGATGACGCTTCAACCAACTGAGCTACTGGGCCAGGGCTATTTTAAAACTCAACTCAGTACTTATAAACAAAAGATTAGGAAAGTAGGTGTTAAAATATAATTAATACAAATTATCCTGGGGTAATAAGATTATGTTTGAGATTTTCTTTATACGTATATGCATCTTTCATGTTGTATTATTTTTATAACATTTAAAAAAATTGTTTTTTATTTTTTTAGAGAGAGAGGAAGGAGAGGGGAAGAGAGAGAAACATCAATGAGAGAGGCCCTGGCTGGTTTGGCTCAGCGGTTAGAGCATCGACCTGCGGTGCAGAGAGACCCGGGTTCGGTGTCCGCTAAGGACATGTACCTTGGTTGCAATCTGTCCCTGGCCCTGGTTGGGTCGTGTGGGTGGCAACCACTCAGTGTGTCCCCTTCACATCGATGTTTCTCTCTCTCTCTCCCCCTCCCACTTTATCTGAACAAAATATGGAAAAGTGTCCTCAGGTGAGGATAAAAAAAAAAATTAAAAAAAAAAAAGAAACATCAATGAGAGAGAACATCGATTGGCCACCTCCTGCATGCCCCACACTGGGGATTTGGCCCACAACCTGGGCACGTGCCCTGACCGGGAATCGAACCAGCGACTTCTTGGTGCATGTGTCGATGCCCAACCACTGAGCCACACCAGCCAGGCTATTTTTATAACCTTTAAAAAAAAAGAACTTACATGCATGTATGCATAACCAATGGACATAGACAACAATGCTATGGGGGCGGAAGGGGGCGGGATGAGGAGCAGGGGTTCTAGAGGGAAAAAGGAGAAACATCTGTAACAAAAATAAATTAATAAAAATTGGAGAAAAAATAAAATGTACAATTTAAAAAAGTAAAATACATACTAAAAATTCTATCTAAATATTGGGTTTACTTTATAATCAGTAAGTAATGATTTAAAACAAAATATATTTAAAATTTCATTTTAGACAGGTACTTAAAACTGATTTTGTATCATAAAGGGGCACAGTATAAGGGAATGTGGAGAAGGAATCAAAGTAACATGCTGTTAATTCTAGCATTCTAGTAGATAAATTCCCTACTTGATGATTGAGGATATTTCTAAACTTCTCTCCTAATATTTTACTTTATGGATTATTTAGAAGAGCTACTTTAACAGGAGGGTATTAATGGTAAGATAGTGACATTATAAAGTGACACTCCAATAGACTGGGAGAAACAATTCTTGAAAGATAACACATTTTTTATATTTAAAAGTTACCCATTCTGAGAGCTATCCAGTCCTCTGTTTGGATTAGATACCAAATAGACTTCATAAATCTAAACACAAGAGAGCTTCAAATCCAAGTGGAACAGAAGTCAACTGCTTTCTAAACTATTAGTTTATGTTTGAGTAGCCATATTGAATATGTTATAAATCATTTAAAAAATAACACACTCAGCCTGTGAAATATGAAAATTATGAGACTCCTATTGACTACATGATTCAGGAAACTTGATGTTTGGTATGAAAACCAAATTGTGATTTTCTGAAATCAGACTTTCTAGTTTAGTTTAAACTTAAGTTTTACAGGTAGTCATTAAAATTTGCCTTCAAATAAAAACCTCATTCCATTTTATGTAGGGCTTTTTAGAGAAATATAATATATACTTTATATCGTGTAATAAGACAAAACTTGTTTTATTTTTATGTAGCTTGCATTGAAAGGCTCTAGCTACAGTGGACTGCTTGAACGACATCATATTCACACAAAAAATGTAGAGCATATTCTAGATAGTTTACGGTAAGTCTGTGGGATTGGATTTTGGGTGGGCTTTTGTCTTCGGGAATTCCAATTTCCCCCTAACTAGCAGCTAATTGTTAGATTTTAAAATAAAGATTGCCATTATTAAGTCACTTTCAGAAAATTATATTGTGGTTAATGGACCTGATATTATAGTGTTTCTAAGGATATTTTTATTGTACTCTGAAAATTTTATAGATTTTCAGTTGTTATTTGGTCTGCCCAAGAAGTGCCTTTTTTTACAAAGTGTTCTGTACACAGCATACTGGATTACATGGGTGTTCATTATAATCTTTGAATGTCTAAAAATTATCATTATGGAAACCAGTTAATTTGGGGCTAAATGTTGTCAGTGAATACGTTTGTGTATAGACAAGAGAATCAGTGTGAGAACATGTAACTTGGAAACTAATTAGTCACTATTTCAGTGTCTGGCACACAATGAATATTTATTGGATTTAAAATAACTGCTCTTCAGTTTCATAATTTAAAAAATTGTTTCTCAAGGTGTTCATCTCTGAGCCATTTTTATATTAATGAATTTGAACAGGCGAAGTAGAGAAAATGAAATGAAATTCTAATCAATATTACCATTTGTTGGGAGCTGTAAAATATCTTTTTATTTTATATATATATTTTTTATTTTATTTTGGTACGTGCCCCTAGTGGGAACTGAACCCAGGACTCTCTGGTCCGCAGGCCGATGCTCCAACCACTGAGCAAAACCAGCCAGGGCTAAAATATCTTTTTTTTTTTTTATCCTCACCCGAGGACATTTTTCCATTTTTTGTTCAGATAGAGTGGGAGGGAGAGAGAGGAAGAGAGAGAGAGAGAGAGAAACATCGATGTGAAAGGGACACATTGAGTGGCTGCCACCTGCACAACCAACCAGGGCCAGGGAAAAACTGCAACTGAGGTACGTGCTCTTTGAGGGAACCGAACCCCGGTCTCTCTGGACCACAGGCCGACGCTCTAACCGCTGAGCCAAACTGGCCAGGGCTAGAATATCTTTTAAAAGAGATTTGGGATAGTCATTAACTTTCAGTTTATTCATATGCTTCCTGACTTCTGGTTCATTGGCTGTTGCAATAAAAAGAAAAGCCAACCTTACAAAGCTAAACACAAATGTGTTTATAAAATAAAAGTTTATTTTAAATCTCCATTGTAATAGTCTGTCAGAAAACATTTCTTTATGTTATTAGTGGAACTTTTATATAACCTTTACTTTTTTTATCTTAGAAATGAGGGAATTGAGGTTCGTCTAGTAAAGAGGAGAGAATATGATGAAGAAACAGTTCGATGGGCAGATGCTGTCATAGCTGCAGGAGGTAATAATTTCACAGAGGTAAAGATGTGGGAATGCAGAAATGCTCATTAACACTCATATTTCCAAATACCCTATGGTCTAGCTGTAATGAAGCCTGTAGAGTCCAACCATAAGACAGAGTGTTGGATTTTTAGGATCAGGTTTAAAGAGATCTGTTTTACATAACATTTCACGTTTTTAGTGAATGATGGTGCTGTGAGGTTCCATGCGTATATTTCTGTGTGTCTATTCAAGGTGCGTATTTAACTTCAAGTATGATTCAGAGGATTAGTTGTAACTGTATTTTGGTTTAGTTTTGCCAGTCTTAAAAGAAAAATGAAGTTGTTTAAGAGTTGAATGAGATTAGATAAATTCCATCCCTGTCCAGCCTCAGTATACATACACTTATTTTGTTCCTGAGCTTTATTATTAAGTTAGCGAGCATTCTTTCTAAAGTTTTAAATTGACAGAATTTGTTGAAGAGAAATTCTGAAATTGGGCACTTTGTTGGACATATTTTCATTAAAATACGAATTTGGACTGATGTTATAGAGAAAGAAAGGGTTGTCTAATAGAAGTGATAGGATTAGAGCAATGGTTCCCAACGAGGGGTGCTACTGGCATCTAATAGGTAGAGGCCAGAGAAACTGGTAACCATCCTACAATGCAGAGGGCAGCCCCCACGACTATGAATTATCTGGACTAAAATGTCAGTCTTGCCACTGTTGAGAAATCCTGGTTTAGAGTGGACGAGATGATGCTAAGGGACAGTGTGTGGGTAGAGAGGAGGTGGAGTAGACTGTGGCAGTCAGTAGAACGGGATGGGGGTGTGGTCATTAGAACAAAAGTATTGGTGTTTAAATGACATTAAAAACCAGTTTTATAACAAGTCTGGTTGTCTTCTGTCCTTTAGGTGATGGCACAATGCTTCTGGCAGCAAGTAAAGTGTTGGACAGACTTAAACCAGTTATTGGAGTAAACACCGATCCAGAACGGTAAGGAAAAACATGTTTTTGTTTGTTTGGCTCTTTTTTTTTTTTTAGTGTAATACATACAAACATTTATGCTTTGCTTTGCTTGGCAGAGTATCTGTTTATGATAAATCTTAACATTTGGAAGCTCTTTTTTTTTTTTTATCCTCACCCGAGGACATTTTCCCTTTTTTTTTTGTTTGTTCAGGTAGAGTGGGAGGGAGAGAGAGGAACAGAGAGAGAGAAACATCGATGTGAAAGGAACACATCGAGTGGCTGCCACCCGCACGACCGACCAGGGCCCGGGACAAACTGCAACTGAGGTACGCGCCCTTAGCAGGAACCAAACGCGGGTCTCTCAGGACCGCAGGTCGACGCTCTAACCGCTGAGCCAAACCGGCCAGGGCTGGAAGCTCTTCTTAATTGTCTGTACCATAGTCATATTGCTGGGCTTTGTTGCTACAAGGAGTTACCACGGAGCGTGATGTTTCAGAGGAAGCATCATTGCTCCTGGCTGTCATAAACATTAGAACCATGTTCCAGAAACATTTCATTGATGGAATTTAGGCATATAGAATTCATCTCTACCTCTAACAGAATTCTCTTCTACGTAGTTGTTTTTAAGGAGATAGCTCTTAACTTTAGCTTAGGCACAATACATATATATTTAACTGGCATTGGTGGTAGAAAATTTTGATATGGGACAGACAAGTCCTCAGACTTCCCAGATAGTGTGGGAGTAGTATCTGACAGAATAGACCTGACCCTTGACCCAGGTGAGTGTTGGTAACCTTTGGTATCCCTAAAGAGTGATGAGTTAATAATGTTCCATTTTTGTCCTTTCTAATGGCTCTCATTGACAGTCCCAGTTATGCCTCCACTGATTTTTCTGGTGACTCCATTGACTTAATGAAGAGACCAAATCCTATTACCTTTTTTTCCTCCTTTCCTCAGCTTCACTGACATTTACCCTCATTCTCTTCCATCCTCCCATAGCCATTGCCATACCTGGGCTTGATGATTATCTAGAATTTTCCCATCTCTCAAATTTTCGTTCTACTCTGACCACTACTTTAACAGCAGTCTTATTCTCTCAGTCCTACCAAATCTGTCCTTTACTTTTACTGAGTTGATCCTCTATTTTCTTCACTTAATTCTCCCTTATTTACTTTCTTGACAGATTTCTTAAGTATTTAGTATTATTATCTTTCTGCTTATTCCAGATCAGTTTGTCATCCTTCTATTCCTGCATCAGCAATATTGAGACCATCTTGGAAAAAAGAATCATGACACTTGAGCTTGGTGGCCCAGTTTGGTGGTCCAAATTTACGTTCCATTTGTAGTTTCTAGCATTTAGGACTGTATTCTCAGAGTTGTTCCATAAACTTCCTATTTGGCCCAGTCATCCCTCTTCCCCATTCCCTGTGGCAGCTCCTTCACGAGTGGCTCTTCAACTTTAGTTCCTCCCTGCTCTCCTTATCCTCCTTCCTTCAACAAACCCCTCTCTTATCTCATAAAGGAAATGGAAGTCACTGGGTTAGAACTTCTTCAGCTTTTCTCACCCTTAAAAAGATTTTTTTCTGTCATTTGTTCCTTTTTTCTCTCGCCCTTCACACATGATTTCCTTCACACATGATTTCCTTTTAGGCTAAAAATTTAAGACTCCCAGGTTTCAAGAAATTCTAATAAACCCTTTACCTTCTGCCACTCTCTTATTTCCCTTTCTTTTCCTCTACCCTGAATCTACCCTGAAGCTGGGTAGCTCTGCTTCCTTACTTTACAGTTATTTTCTGAACCTTTGCAGTCTTCTGTGGATTTTCCCCCGACCAGTTTATTGACATTACCTTTGCCTTACAAACTGGTGATGTCCTGGTTACTTGAAGCCACTGGAAACTTTAGTTCTTGTTTTACTTGATTTCTGGGAAATATTTGGTGCTAACTGCTCCCTTGTATCTATACTTCTCTGGCATTTATGATGCCCCCTTCTTCCTACCTCTATAGCTACTTCTTTGTCACTATCACTTCTGACGGGTTTTATTCTTTGGTTACTGTTTACATACGAGTGTTTTCACATATCCTCTGGGCTATCTTTTTTTCTCCTTTACTCCCGATACTATTTCTAGAATAATCAATTGATATCTATGGTTTTAACTTAGATCCTGGTGACTCCAAAATTCTTATATCCAACATGATACAATTCTGCTTCTATTCTTACTCTTATTTATAGTCTCTCCTCCTATTGCAGACAGTGATCATTTTATGAAAGTTTGATACTATTATGTGACTTCCCTGCTCAGAATCTTATGGTGGTTCTCTAACTCAGAATAAATTCTAATTATTTACTGTGGCTACAGTGACCAACTCATTTTGTTTTGCCAGGGACTTTCCCAGCCCTGTGTCCCAGGAAAATTGTCAGTCCTGGGCAAACTGGGACAGTTGGTCACCTTAACTATGATGTATAATACTGTAATATTACCTGGCCCTTGACTATTCTGTGTCCTTATCTCCTGTTGTTTTTTCCTTTCCTCTTGCTAGTTTAGCCATACGGTCCTCTAGTTGAATGTATTAAGTGCCATTACCATTGTAACATGTCTATAAAGGAACTTGTCTCCTTTCCCCTCCCCCACCATATTTGACGGAGTCATAACCTGTGCTGAAGCTGTGATTACTCATCTCTCACCTTCCTCATCAAATTGGTTCTAGGGATCTAGGTCTAAGTTCTAGGGATCCTACTTTGAATCCATCTCTTGCCATCCTCCTATATATATCTCAGGCCTTTATAGTTTTTATTATAATAGCTTCCAGTCTCACCCTTTTCAACCCTCCTTTACAGGTTGCCTTCATGTTCTTCCCAAGTACAGCTCTGATTGTGTCCACTCTCTAAGTGAATCTTTTAACCAAAATCCATGATCTTCTGGATACATTGTAAATTCCTTAGCATAATACATGTCTTTCACCACCTGCTTTTGCCTGTCTGCTTTTCCAGTTTCATCTATTATTCACCACAGGTACTATATATTCTTCAGCTAAAAAACTAACTGAAGCCCTCTGGGAACAGCCTACAATCCTTCCTAAAGGGTGGTTTGTTTGTTTTTTTTCAGTTGTATTTTTTTTACAGTTTTATTTAGGTATAACTTGATATATAGTACTATATATTTTTAAGGTATATAGCATATTGACTTACATATAGTGTGAAAAGATTACAGTAAGTTTAAGTTTAGCTAACATCCATCATCTCATAGATATAGAAAATAAATTTAAAAATGTTTTTTTTCCCTTGTGATAAGAACTCTTAGGATTTACTCTCTTGATAACTTTCAACTACACCATATAGCAGTGTTAACTGTAGTCATTATATTGTACATTGCATCCCCAGTGCTTATTACTGGAAGTTTGTACTTCTGACCACCTTCATCTGATTCCCCCACCCTTCACCCTCAAGGCTGTTCTTCAGTGCAAATGTAGTGCATAAGCATCTGCTAACACCGTGGATGGGGCTCACATGTGGAGACCTTTGCTAGTGCAGAGCTCTATTGATATTTAAGATAGCAGAACTTGGAAGAGTCAGTAAAGAGTTCTCCACAAGGCCATGTTCTTTCATGCCTTTGTATGTGCTTTGGCCTAGAGTGCCCTTACACCATTTTCCTCATTGGAGTCGTTCTTATTCATTCCAGACTGGTGCCTCTCCTGGGCTCTGACTGTAAGTCCCTGTACAGAGTACTTATCCTTTTCTATTATCATCTGCTTGAGACTCTGTTCCATTTGAGGAAATCCCTTGAGTATAGGACTTTGTGTTTTAATTTCTCTCTCAGTATTATATATAGTCAGTAGGCAGTAAGCATTCGAAATGAATGATTAATTAAATGATCTCAGGGAGCAGCGCGCAGACCCCAAAATGAGTTAATATTCCCTCAGCATAAGTAATTGAGATCATTGTTTCAGTAATTATTTTTTGATTGCCTTCATTGTTGATGCATATGTATTTTACAACTACTTAATGAAATACTTTTATATCATTAAAGTCAGATTCTAGATATTTTATATAGTTTATTAAAATATATTTTTCTTTAAAAAGATGACTTAATACTCATAGGCTTGTGGGGATTTTGAAACTGTAAGTAGATGGTGTTGCCTCTAATATTTTTAAAATTTAATTTAATTTAATTTAATTTTTTCCATTACCTGCCTCTCTAGTTTTAGTCTAGAATAATAGGTTTTAGAAGTCCTTTGGTTTCTCTTCTTGCATTCAGGTAGAAATGGATTAAGCCTCCTAGCTTGTTCAGTAATTCAGGTTGTCTGACTTTTTTTTTTAAGTACTGTGGTCCCTCACAATCCTTAAATGAGCCTAGAAGTTATGTTCAACTGAAGTTTCTTTTCCTTTGTGTTGGGTATCAAATGCTGCATAACAGATCACCCTAAAACTTAGAGGCTTAAAATGGTAATAATCACTGATTATCTCTCATGGTTCTGTGTGTCAGGAATTCAGGAGCAGCATGGCTGGGTGAGTTTGGCTTGAGATCTCATGAGTTTATAGTCCAATGTCAGCTTAAACTTCAGGCAACTGAAGGCTTGACTTGGGCTGAAGGTTCTAATTTTAAGATGGCTCACTTACATGGACTCATCTAAATGAAACATATAATTTCTGTTTGTCTCTCCTGTATTCTGCACTCATTCTACTGAGACTAGTAAATATAACATTTGAATGCTCAATAATCAGAATGTGATAGAGGGCATATGGTAGCCAGCCTCCCAGGTAGCGTCTTCCTAGTATTTACACCTTTATGTGGTTCTGTATTCAATCAGGGCTGGCCTCTGTGACCAGTAGAATATGGTATACCCATGGGCGGATTCCAAAGCCAGGCTATAAATGGTATTGCAGCTTCTATTGTAGCTTCTTGGATCGCTCATTCTGGGGTAAGTCAACCACCGTGGTGTGAGATACCTTAGCAGCCCCATGGAGAAGCTCCCTGGAGAGGAATTAAGTCCTCTTGCCGACAGCTAGCACCAGTTTGTGTGCCATGTGA